AGAAAAGCAGAGCTTCAGCATGGGCAAGTTTGCAGCATTTGAACAGCCCTTGAACCTGGTTTGCTCTGCCAGGGTGATGCTTTGTATAGGCTGAGCTAGAACAGAGGATGGATGGAGTTACAGAATAAAGCAGGGATTTATTAAAAGGATCTCCTCAATGGATGCATCTTGGGCAGATGCATCCTTGCAGCCTAAAGGCTACAACCAAGATGAACCAAAATGGTCACAAAATGAACCCAAAATGAACCAAAATTGTCCCAAAATGCACAACCACTCATGAGGTCTCTCACTTTTATAAGTTCTGCTCCATTTGCATCTTGCAGTTCATTGTCCCACTCCAGCTTTAGCCCATGCAGTCCCATCCTGCTTCTTATCTGTCTCCTGTTTGTGCTCTTGGGCCTGAGATTTGGATCATTTGTCCTTGGTCCCCAGCTGGAGCAGGAATTGTTTTGTCTCCCTGCTCTGTGCAGAGAGCTCACCCTGATGTGAAACCCAGACCCACACACTAAAGCAGCACAGAATCTGAAAAATATAAAAGCTAAAACCTGAGGCATCAAGGGGACTCAGCATTCCCAACCAGAGGAATTCACACATACATGAGGATGGGGAGGCCCTGGCTAACAGAGCAACCCAGTGGGATATAGGAAAAAGCCCTTTCCCACAAGCAGGGATGGAGATGCTTCCTCCAGCATTTGCTCCCAGGGCTGAATATGTTCAGCAGTGACTGCAGAGAGCTATTACAAGCAAGGTTATGGACACTGAGGTCCCTGATTAAAGATCTGGACGTGCTGTGCTAAGGAGGGCATCTCTCTATTTGCAACCCACACACAAGGTCACAGAGCACAGGTCCCTCCAGCCAGAGGCCAGAATAAAACAGCTGTTCAACACAAAAGGGTGCCCAGATCTTCTCTTGTCCCTGCCCTGAGCCCCCCAGGCTTTGTTTGAGGTGGTTGTGACCCAGAGGCAGCTGTGGCCTCCACACCTCCCCAGCTGAATCAGCATCTCCTCCTTGCAGACCTGTGTCACTTGGCTTGGCACCATCCTGCAGGAGAGGCCACTGGAGAGAGCAAAGGCCTGAATTATAACAAGCAACAGAGACCTGGGAAGGAAGAAATGCAGCAAAGCAATTTGCAAGCCCAGGTCTCTGATCACGAGATGGACAGAGAACCTTTCCCACTGCAGAATTCTGGGTTTTTCCTGTAGGAGTAAGTTAAGGCTGCTGGCATCCAGCATGAGAGGGCTGTGCTTTGGATTGAAGGCACTGAACACCAGCTCCTCAGTCCCACTGGAGGCTGAGACAGAGCTGGAAGAGTTTCCCCCTCTGGTGTGAAGTTACCCCTGTAACCTCTGCTCACCCTGGGACTCGAGCAAAGCTGTGCCAGAGATGTGACACTGCAAGAGGCAAGGACCACAAGCACTGCTGCATGAGCTGACCTCCCTGTCAGTGCCTGGGCCCGGAGCAGAGGAGAAAACCAGCTGTGACAGCCCAGCCAGTGCAGCAGCGAGGCCGTGGAGCACAGCCAAGGCGCCGTGACCTCCCCGTCCTGCTGGGGAGAGCAGCAGGACAGGGGAGCAGCCTGGCTGGATCAGCCTCCTGGCTAATTCCACTAGCACACAGACAGAAGCCACTCCATCAGCTATTCCCCAGTTATTTTTAGCAGCTGATGACTCTCCTGGAAGCTCGCCAGGGTGGCAGGTCACAGGATGACTGCAGGAGGGACAAGCACGGCCCCTCTGCCAGGACAGTGCCAGCAGCTGTGGGTGCCAGCCCAGGTTTGAAGGAGCTGCTGATAAAGGTGCCAGCAAACAGAGGGCAAGCTCCAGCTGCCATCCCTCCATCCCCATTCCCTCTTTTTCCTCTCCCCTGGGGTCACCCTGCTTCCAGCTCTATCCTCATGTGTCACAGACAACTTTTATGGAAAATCCTTTCCTTAGGATTTTTCCTCCTGAGAAGCTGAGTGGCCTCAGGAACAAAATGTAAACATTGATTATCTGCTGCTGTGGAATGCAACAGGTGCATCTGTGATTGGCTTATGTGGTTGTTTCTAATTAATGGCCAATCACAGTCAGCAGAGAGTCTGGACAGAGGACAGAGAGTCTGAGACGAAGCCTTTGCTATCATTCCTTCCTATTCTATTCTTATTCAGCCTTCTGATGAAACCTTTTCTTCTATTCTTTTAGTATAGTTTCAATGTAATGTATTTTAAAATAATAAATCAAGCCTTCTGAACACAGAGTCAGATCCTCATCTCTTCCCCAATCCCAAAACCCCTGTGAACACGGCCACACTCGTATCCCAGAGGGGATGCTGGGCTGGCAGCACGGGCACAGAGAGATCCCTTCCTCCAAAACACAGCCAAGAGTCCATAATTAGTGCTGAGGAGGGACAGAGGGCATTTGCTGTGCTGAGGAGGAAGAGAGGGCATTTTCCCTGCTGAGGAGGAAGAGAGGGCATTTTCCCTGCCAAGGGACCACAGGAAAAGCCCCATGGATCACGTCCTGGGGTGACCTGGCAGCTGCTTTGCAGCACCTGCAAGGCAAATTGAACCTGCCAGCTGGGATCACCCCTTCCCACAGCCCTGGCCAGCACCTCAGCTGCCTTGGCATCTCTCTAGACTGCTGCTGGCCATCAGGAGAAGGAGCCCAGGCTGAAAACTAATGACCTTTTCCTTTATGCTAACAGATAGATACACCAGAGAGGCATGAAGGGAATGCAGCTCCAGCAAGCAATTGAGCTGAGTTTTCCATCTCATCTAACAGATTTCCCCCAAAACAGTGTCTGGACAGAAGGATGAGGGCAGTGGGAAGAGGAGAAGAGCAGCTATTGCCCCTGGGTTTGAGTTTCCACAGAATTCTGGATTTACTCCCCACCTGCACCCAGGGAAAACGCTCCTGTGTCTGGCACAGCAGAGCTGGGCTGGTGAAATCTTCATGCAGAGGCACCCCAAGCTAGCAGAGCCAAGGTAATGCTGAATAAATAAGGAGAAGGCATGAGAATTTCTATATTCCTTTGGCTGCTTTAGAACCCAAACCAACAAAGGCAGGAGCTGAGGATGAAAATGGGATATTCAGTGCTTTGAAGTCATTCTACAGATGTGTGATGCAAAGGGCTTAATCTGGGGGGAAAACAAGGCACAACCAGCTGCCTTGTACTTGGCTTAGAAGGTTTGACCTGGCTGGGATCAGAATGAATGTAATTGTGACAATGACAAAGCTGCCTCGGGGCCATGGGGGTGGCAAGGAGTTGGAAGGAGCAGGCAGAATTTCACAGATTCAATTCTTCCCAATTCGCCCCCTTTGAGGTCTTGGCAACATCAAAGAGAAGTTTGAACAGTCCCACCCAATGCTGTGCCCACAGCATCCCTCACCCCACAGATGGGATTTGTCCCACACAGCCCAAATCCCTCCCTGATGGGATCCAAACAGGACCTTCTGCTCCTCCCAATGGGGACCCCCATAGTCCCTAATCAGTGACCCCTCCATGAGGTTTGAGCACACTCTGCTGAGACATTCCTCATTTTTACCCTTCCATAAATTATTTATTCAGCTTTACCTGCAGCCCAATTACACAGAGTTAAGGGAGTAAAAAACCTTGATGCATGCAAACTGTTGCTTGACTAAATTAGTTTGGTTGGTTGCATTGTTTAGGGCTATTATTTTAATGCATTCTGATCTGATATCTGTTCTACTTTGCTCTACGAAAAGAGAGGACTGATAAGGATGAATCTCAAACCCTCAATAAAGACAGGATTTAGCAAAAAATGGGCATTAGAGGGTTAGCAACTTAAGTGTTTGAGCTGTGAAGCAGTGAGGAAATGAGGTGAAGCATCACAGCAAAGGGGGTTTATTTCCCACATCCCTCCCTCCCTCCCTCCCCAACTTCCCTATTGATCCTGATAACTAATATGTAATTGCAATTAACTGCAGGCAGAGTGAAGTTCAAAGAGATGCACTTTGCAGTCCTTTGGCAGAGCTGTGTGCGTGCAGCAGGCAGCAGCAGCACCAGCCCTGCTCCCTCATCAGGAGGAATTGTCTGCATGTGGGATGGAGCACGCACGTGGCTCGGGTTAAGCTGTGACACTCAGAGAATGGGAATGAAGACAGGAGCTTTTGAAGGCCTTAGAAGAATTAGGCACCCAAAACACACAGGCTGGCATTTAATTCCCCTGAAAACCCAGTATTTCAACTGCCTTGCTGAAAAGATTCCCTTTGATAATCCAGAAAGCTGACATAATACCTGACAAAGGCTTCTAATTTTTCTCTTTTTTCTCCGGCACACTTGGGATTCAACATTATGATTCGGTTGAAGGAGGAAATTTGGTCTTATGCTTCTCCTTGCAAGGCCTCCAGCCTTTTGGGAAGTTTCATGGGGCTTCATTATGGTAATAAATGAAGGAAAGCTCCAGCTTAGGGGAACAGGTACAACCCACAAGCAAAAAAATCCCTTTTTTTCCTCACACCCGCTCTCATCCATCCGCTGCCCATATTTTTAGCAAAAAGTCCTCCTAAATATTGAATATTGCTGCACCTAAACCAAACACAAACATCCAATTTCATGAGCCAAGAGCATCAGTGATGCCCTCCTGGAAGCATCCCTGCAGACAGGGAGAGCTCAGCCACCTCCCTGCCCCATCCCCTCCACAGCAGCTTGAGGGGAACCTGAGAAAAGGCACTCAAAAAGCCAACAAAGTTACTCTGAAGTTATCCCATCATTTCCCAATCCTAGAAAGAGCTGCCCAAATGGGATGTGTCCCAGAAAGAGCTGTGCAAATGGGACAACTCCCAGGCCTTAGGCTGTAAGCTACTGCTGTCAGCATCCCAAGGCTGCTCAGCATCCATGGCTCCCAACACTCCGGATTTTCCAAAGCCCTTCTCCATCACTGGGACAAATTATTTTCAGCACGATGTGGTGCAAGGGCTGGAAATAGCCTCTGATTGCCATTTTGTGCCTATTTAACCCAAACAGGACACATCAGAGCTCCCCCCAGGTAGTCTCTTACCTGCGTGGGGCTTGGCAGAGACACCTTGGTTGGAAGACACCAACTGTCCCCCGTCTGGACCCCTCCATGTGAGAAGGACAAACGGACAAAGAAGGATTGGGCAGAGATTAGAAAAAAAGGAAACTAAAAAGCACCAGGAATGCTGCAGGCTCCTGACCATGTGGGGAATTTATTGCTGTTAGAAGAAAGCCACCTGCATCAAGAGGGAGCAGAGCCAGCAACCGAGATCCGTATCAGGCGACAGAAAGGAGGGTGGGACGTGATGAGAATTGGCATAAACAGGAGGCTGAGGCAGAAATGACAAGAAAAATAAGGAAAGGAGAGGGAGTGCTGGGCTGCATGGCATCCCTGGGTCATCGGATCCAGCCCTCCTGCTAAAAGCAGGAAGGGTTTTATCCCCTCTATTCCCACAGGAAGGCTGCTCCATAGTCCGACTGCTCTCTAATTGTCAGAAACAATCCTCCAGTTTCCAGGCTGAATTTATTCTGGGCTGGTTTATGTACATTTGTTCTTGTGCCAACACTGTCCTCGGGCATAAATAGTTCTCCTCCCGTGCTGCTCTGCCCTCCCCATCTTCCACCAGTGTATTTATAGGCAGCTATCTTCCTCAGCTTTCATTCTGCTAATTTAATTAAGCCAGGCTTTCCTTGTCTCCCCTCCAAAGGCACCAGCTTCATTTCTTTTATCGTTCTAGCAGCCCTTTCCCAGCCCTGTTCTCCAGGCTGGCTCCAGCATCCCTTAGAAGAAAACACAAGCACACAATCACCAGCAGTGATCTCCCCTGAAAACAGATGCTTGGGAGCACGGTGCCTAATTGCAAAGCAACAGAAACAGGCTCCTCTTTTATCCTGTCAGCTTTTCTGGATCAGTTAAGGACCATAAATAGTGCTGTGGAGCAGGAGCAGGTCCCGGGGTGTTTGCAATGTGTTCAGTTCACATTTCGGCTGAGTTGTCTCGCTGCGATCCCGCACTCGTTCTTCTTTTTCCAATTATGCTGCAGCACTTTGGGAAACCACACCATGTCCCTGGGATTAAATATGATCCTATTTGGTCCTAGACAGCAGCTCATATTGCAAAAGGAGAAAGCTGTGGCCAGCAGAGGGGATGGCAATAGGAGTTTTCACTCCTGCTTTTCCCAGGAAAAGAAAACTCCACGGGATGTAAATATTGCTGCTCACTGAGCACTGGGGAAGAAGTACAACCCATGGACTTCCTGACAATTAAAGACCACAAAAAAGTAGCAAAATGTGGCAACATGGGATGAGAAGTTGGACTTTGCTAATCCTTGTGGATCCCTTCCAACTCAGCATATTCTACAATTCTTTTTTATTTAGATATACATCAAACAACGCCAGTAAAATCAGATCTTTCATGCCCCTTTCATTTCTCATTTTCTAGCCAGAAGATGGCATTTCCTTCAACATGAGTGAAAAGGGGACAGATTAATAAATACAGCCTGAGGACTCGATGGTCTTTGAGGTCCTTTCCAACATTAGCGGGTCTGTGATTCTGTGAGGGAATTGCCATCCTCTTTCCAGGAGGGAGTTTGTGTCTGGGAATGACATCTTAAGGAAAGCAGAGGCACAGAGACTCAGGATCCTGTCAGAAACTCAGAACGCTGTCATTGCAGCTGGTAAAGACTGACAAGTTAAACAGGACTCTGCTGAAGAGCAGCTCTGATGATGTTTGTTAGCCCAGCAAAAACTGTTTCCTATCTCATGTAAGAACTTTCTGTCCTGTTCTCATCAGTGACCCAGACCAGCTCTCAACAACTCCACACAGAATCCCAAACTTCTTACACTCCATGTCAATCTCCTCCACCCCATGGAGGTGCTTGAAAAGGACAGATTCCCCTTCTCTCTCCTTGCTAGTTTTGTCGTTCTGACAAATGGTTGATGTGTTGGTTGAGTTTCTAACGCTGCTGGAAATGGTTGTGACTTTCGTGTTTTCCAGCCAGCACCGTGATTTCCACAAAGAAATGAGGCATTAACCAGCCAAAGTTGTCCCTGGCACAACCAAAAGCAGAGGTGAAGGGGTACAACACTGTTTCCATGGCCATTAACCAGGAGAGGTGCCAGGGCTCCACGTGGCAGAGCAGAGGAACAGGGGACTGTCCCCATGTGCCACCACATCCCTGCTGAGCTGCTCCAAACTGCATCCCTAAACTGCTCCTTGCAGACCATTCCTGGGATGATTTTTGATCCCCCAGAAAGTCAGACAGGCTCCCTCCAGCCCAAACTGAGGGGAAAAGGTGCAGCTGGGGACCAGTTTGCTGTAACAAAACCACCAGAAATAGCGGAGAAAAATGGAAATATCCCCCAAGAATCCCCAGCTTTTCATTAAATAAGGAAAGCTGCTGTCAAGATGTAAAATAGGCAGGTGTTATTTGTAGGACAACAAATTGTGGAGGGGTGAAATAGAGCAATAGGAAGAGTCAGGCCCAGCCTCTCACTCTCATTTCTTTGTGGAAATCACGGTGCTGGCTGGAAAACATGAAAGCCACTACCATTTCCAGCAGCGTTAGAAACTCAACCAATGCATCAACCATTTGTCAGAATGACAAAACTAGCAAGGAAAGAGAAGGGGAAATCTGTCCTTTTCAAGCACCTCCACGGGGTGTTTGCAGAAACTGGGTGAGAAAAACTAGGCAAATGGCAAACTCACTTCATTCGTGATTTTACACCTCTGGGTTGCTGGGGATTTTCTGAGCCAGCATTTTCTGCTCAAAGAGAGAAGTGCCCACTGCAGAGGACTCAAGGAGGTCTTGTAACAGGCTCTCTCAGGTAGAAACAGGCACATTTAGAGCCAGGGGTTTTTTTTGGTTTTTTTTTGTTTGTTTGTTTGGGTTTTTTTTGTTTGTTTGTTTTGGGTTTTTTTTGTTTTGTTTTGTTTTGTTTTTTTTTTTTGTTTTTTTTTTTTAAGATCATTAATACCAAGAGAGCAATTGCAAATCACCCAGCACTGTGGAAACATTAACTTTTACTTGCAGCGTGGCAATTCCTACAGCCTGTGCCCTTGTCCTGCAAGGAGTTCACAGGGGAGAGGGCTGGCCAGGCTTCCCCTGGCACTGCTAAGGAAGGAGATGGATGAGCAGCCCCAGGGCAGCATGACTGATTTCCCTCATTATCCAGAGCAGGAAAGTGGGGTGGAAGGGTGGCAGCATCCCTGGGTGTGGGGTTTGTCTTTTTCCAGCTCAGTGTGAGCAATTAGTGACAGTAGTTATTTTTGACAAGGGTTATGTGTTGCACCACAGCTGGGGAGCCAGGTAGGATGAGCCCTTTTTTCCAGAACAAATTATTTTTTATTGTTGTCCCTCCTCCAGTGAGCTGTCCCCTTTCCATAGGTGGAATTAAAGTTCAAACAGCTCTGATGCTGCCCAGGTGTGGTAAAGGAAAAGGACTTCTTGATGATGAAGCCTCCAACCATCGTGAGTTAATGCTTGCACAGCCTGACCAAAAAAGTTCTGAGAACTTTTTTTTGTGAAAAAAAACAGGGAAAAAGTTCCCAGGAAAGTTTCTTTCCAACTCACAAAGCTCAGTTTAGCTCTTGAGATCCATCCTGAGTTCTCATTTCCATATTGTTATCACTCCCAACTCAATGCCAATAACATTGAAATTAAATCTTATAGTGAGACTGCAAAGGGGGTAACAAATCACTAAAACCTTCACCACTTCCCATGGAAAATTCTCCTGCAGTCTCAGTTTTAAAGGCAGGTTAACCATGGTCTGGGGCTTGGTGGTTTAAGGTGGTTTAAGGTTTTTGGAACTCGAACAAAGGCACCAACCATGACACTGTGACACCCACAGCGTGATAGATGTGTGAAGCAATCGCTGCCACTGGCCACAACAGAAATGAAAGATGGGAAATGGTAAATCAGGGTGGGAAGGAGGGGGAGAGAGCACTGGAGGGCTACCAGAGACACCGTGGTGGGGCAGCCCCTGGCTCAGTGAGCATTAATGGATGCAGAGAGGAAAAGACTGCCTGGATTTTTCATTGCTCCCTCCAAACCAGCTGCATCCCTCACGCCAAAAGAAAATAAACAAGATCTCATCTAAACACATCACTGCAACGCCCTGAGCTGCTGCTGAGCCCTCTGCTGACATCCCAGGATCTGGGCAGGGGGGGTTGGTTCTCAGGAAAAACTCCACTCTGGCAATTTTTTGTCCTGGCTCAGCCCCTTGCTCTGAGGTGGGAAGAGGGCATCTGCCTGTGTGCATAACTGGGCACGTAAATAGGTCAGCACCAGCTCGTGGGGCTGCTGCAGACACAGATGCATTTTTCTTGCATCCTTAGGCAAGCTGGAAAATGTCACTTCCTCGCTCAGCGATCACTAAACATTTTGCTGCCCTCAGTGCCCACCTGCTTCATGTCTGCAGTTCTGGGAATAAGCTGGAAGAATAAGAACAGGTTTCTCTTTTTTCATGCATTTTGTTTGATTTTGGTTTCTTTTTTTTAAAGGCACACACAGAGTGATTTAGAGCCCAAAACCAGGGTCAATGCCCCGACCCACATCTCGTCCCTGTTCTCACCTGGGCCTCTGCAGCATCCTTCACCTCCCTTTTTATTTTAACTGTGTAAGGGAAACCTCTAAACCAGCAAGTTTTCATGGGAAGCTGAAGCAGAGAAATGCCTGCAGAGGGGTGAGAAGCTGTTGCACATCCCAAGGGCAAATCCTGACCCAGGAGATGGAAGGAGCTGCCTGTGCAAATCTGCATGCAGAAGGGGTTGCACACATCCCAGAGGGGCTTCCTTCCCTTAGTCCTGACTCCTCCATCCCTGGGGAGGGGCATCTGGAACACCAGTTCAACTCACAGGCAGGTGTTTGATGCTGAATCCTGAGCTAGTTAAAACCAGAGGATTTGGGGAGCAGGCTCACAAGCAGGGACGTGGCAAATCCATCCTGACCCCCGTGTGGGGAGAAAGATGAAAAGGATGAGCCCAAGGGAAGGAAAGGAGCAGGGACACTGAACAAAGCTGAAGCTCTCCAGGAAGGTGGAAGGCAGCTGAAGATGCTTCAAAAAGAACTGTGCTTTCTATCTCCTAGCAACAGATGCCAGCAAAAAGAGAATAAAAACAACCCAGGGAGATGGTCAGGAGATAGAGTTGGTAGAGGAAATGGGGCTTTGCCAAGTCTCACCCTGCTGGACCCTCATCCCTCCCCTCCTATGGGCACCACAGCAGTGCCCTCATCCCAGCCAGGCTGGTTTTGCCCCCAGTG